CTGGGAGGGTATGTGCTCCCCTATAACCCACACACCCACCCCCTGCCCCACACACTGGAGGGGCATGTCCTGGGGTGCAGGGGGCAGCAGGTTGGAAGTGAGGGGTACCAACAGGGCCAGGGGGCTGTTTTCTACTTAAACTATTTACTGGTTTGGGACTGCCCATCAATGTTTATAAATGGGTCCTGGTACAAAAGAGGCTGTGAACCACTGTTTTAGGGCATGATTTCAGTGGCAACAACATTTTCTTGAAGAGCTAAGGGAATGCCTTATATACTCTAACTCCTATTCTTTCAACTGATGATTTGCACAGTATCAGTGAGCTCCAAGATCTGGGGCAAAACAGAGGTCAATCAAATTTCAAATTCAGCCTTCAGAAAAGGGAGCTTTTGCAATACTATTCAAAGGTGTGCTTCAAGAACAAAGAATAATTAACAAGAAAAATGGGGAACAATAAAGCTCTCCTTGACAGTACCAAATTACGTACGAGAGAAACAAAATTCACCTCTTAACAGGATCCTGTTGATGCCAAAAGTTCCTTTCCTTGTCAAAACAGAGTCAGGAAATTATTTTAGCTTTTAGATAAGGAAATTAAAACTCCTTGTTAATGAGTGCAATGGAAATCACCTCCTGCCCAAATTACTGTGAAGCACTGTTAATTGCATTGTTCTCAAACTAAATATTTTAAAAGGTCTACTGCCCTATTTTTAATTTCAAGACTTTAAACAAGTTCATAATTAAGCACTCACTTTTTGGAGTGTACAGATTAAGATAAAGTCACCTTGATGTAGAGACACCGTAGGGTAACGGTATCTTACTTCTACGGATGTGTGAACTGTTAAACATGCCTATGGTTTCAGGGAAAGGGATTTTTTCAAGGAAAATGAATACGTTTTTGCAACTCCAAGGACAAAGTCACCTTGTGGCCTTTAAAAAAATCCCAAGAATAAGATTGATCTATTAAGATGGAACATTGGCAGTTAACAAGATATGCAGAGACAGTAGTGTCCCTTCATCCCATTAAACATAGCATGTAACATTTTTTATTTTTATTTTGTTTGGACATTTATGACAAATCAAGAGCTGTATATTTATTTTTTATTACACTTTGTAACACTTTACCTTCATTTTCTTTCTTCCTTTTTAGGGGCATGTTTACTTTATCTTAAGCTTTAAAATTGGAACCAATGTTATCAAAATTAGGATCAAAGAGTTTTCTAACTTTATATTAAAAAAAAAATGAGGGAACTAGCTGTTTTGTAACAGGCTTTCAAGGCCATCTGTAGACAACTGAAGGCTAATATTTGCTACAGGTCAGACTTATTGTAATCATTCCATTTTAGTCTTAATTAGTCATTTCCTTCTTTGACAACACAAACTCTCTCAAAATTAATTACATTGAAAATTAATTTCTGTATCAAGTGAGAGATGGTGGCCAAATAGCAGTATGCAAGCAAATTATCACTGGTAGATTAATACAGTTAGCATTTTCAATTTGCCTACAGTACTGGCCTTACATGATCTCAAAGGGTGAAATTCAGAACAATACTTAAGACAATCACACATACCACTTTAGACCTATGTTAATGATTTAACATACACAGAGGAGTTGATGCAAACCTTCTACATTGAGGTAAAATTCACCATTCAGATCCATCTACAAAAAAACCCCAACAAAAACCACAACTCACTCACAAGGCAAGCTTTCATAAGCAGACAAACTGTCCTCAAGACTGTGCAACCTGAAACCCTACTGAAAGTAAAGGAATGTAACTAAATGATTGAATGGCCACAAGATAAAAATTATGAACTTAACCAAAAATGAAAATATTGTATCTACTGTAAAGGTAAAAGCTTAAGAGAAGGTCAAGGCACTATTCAAATCTTTTTAACAGGATATAACAGATTTATACAACATATACAAACTTGTTCCTTGGAATAAATTTGAAGTAGGTAAACAGAAAATATATAAACATATACAAGTATGATATGTGGCAATAACATCAGTCTCCATTAATTTTGGAACATTTTTAGAAAGGCAATTTTTACATTTTCTTGGGCCCTCAAAAAGTAACACTAATAGCTTGATGTGACTGGAAAGCCTTGCCCTTTTTTTTAAAGAGGTGTTGGGCAAGACAGTTGATCCCAATTTTCAATTAAATAAATCCCTCAAAAATCATGCCTTCTTCTGGGTGTAATGTGCATTGCACAGAATATTCAATGTTGCTTTTCATTTTAACAGCTAAAGATCTGGAAAAGAGCTATTAATCTTAGTAAAAACACTCCAACTTCTGTGCATGAAGCTGTTTTCAGCACATGCAATGCCTATCAATGTTGTTGGTACATGTCAACCTTACTCTGGAATGACTGCTGGGGATGGGAAAATCTCTGATGAAACAGCGAGCATGGACCCAAATGACATGTCAAAATACAGCATGGAACCATGCCCAGTAGAACCAGACTGACTTCAACTGATTTCATATGGACTACTGAAAAGCAATCAAATAGCAATACTTAATCTAGAGGCCAGGTAAACTAATCAGTGATTAACCACTGACAGATTTTAAATTCCATTAACAATCCACTTACTTCGTCTTCTAAACAGAGAGATGTTTAATATTTTCTTATTTTATTAATAAAATAAAAACAGAATGAGTAACTAAATATAGTAATAGAATAAGTATCAAGTAAACCAGGGATGGCGAACCTGCAGCATGCATGCTGCAAGTGGCATGGGCAGCCTTTATGTGTGGCACATGGCAGACTGGGGAGGGGCAGACAGCACAGTGGTAGGAAACAAAAAACTCGACAATGGATGGGGCAGGAAGCAAAGCAAAACAGCAGACAGGGCAGGCGGAGGGGGACTGGAGTGACACTTGGCTTAATTTGTGGCATGCTTGCCAGAAAGGTTGATCCCACTGATGTAAACCATCACTAGGGTTGGCCTGTATTATTTTAAAGTACTGAGAATATTTTGTTTTGTTGTGTATATGTTTTCTTTTTATTTCATAGCTTTTTTGTTTCCACTTAGAAGTCAACATAAAAAATGACAAATTATTTGGCAAAATGAACCAGTGAAGTTTACATCTTAAAAAAGGAAAAAAAAAATTAAACTTCATGTCAGCCATTATAAATAGATCCCGTGAACCCCAAGGGAGAAAAAAATAAAAAGGGGAAGTCAGCAGCAAGTTAAGCCCATTACAGTCAGCAACAAGGGCCTAATCCTGTGAGGCGCATGTCGCCAAGGGCATTTCTCCAGAATCAAAGGATTATGCCAAGGAATGCCACAGTGAATCACAGCACACCCATTTATCTGCATGCTACATCCTGAAACAAATCTTTAATGCAGTGCTGTGCATATGCCAGTAAGCACATGAGAGAGGGAGAGCATGTACATGATTACTGATGCATGCTGAACGCACACCAATAAGGCAAGCTACATTACATCCACTTGGAGGTTAACATAACAGTTTAAGCATGGTGCTCCTTAGCAATTTTTCTGACAGTGTAGACAGGCTCTAAAGGCCCCAATGTGGCAAATATTTCTGCCCAGAAAGGGTAAGTTGAATGATCTGGACCTAGTTTAATGGCAAGTCAGTACCAAATGACAGATCACATTTTAAGCTATGTGTGTTAAAGATATGGCTTGTGGGGCAAATCTGGCCCACAGAGCTCTATCATCTGGCCCGCTACCTGTGGGTCTTGCCATGATTCCAGCTCCTGACCAGGAGCCGTGGAGCAGCCACCGTGTACAGCACAGCTCTGAGTGCCTACATTCACTGCATGTGGAAGCTGCTCCAGGGCTCTGGGGTTGTACAGCAGAGCCCTGCAGCAACAGCTCCAGAGCCATGCAGCATAACCCTTGAGTAGCCACTATGTGCAGCATGGCTGCTCCAGAGCTGTGCTGCAGTCAGCAGCCACTCCACCACTCCAGGATGCAAGTGTACATGGCGCCCACTCTGGCCCACAGACCAGTCCCCTGCCAATCATCCAGCCCTGGAGGCTGGATGAGTTTTACACCCCTGCTTTAAGTATTCTACATATACATCTAGAAAAGACAAGCAAGTGGATGAGCATGGACTTTTAGATACCAAAGTGGTAGCCAAACTTGGAAATACAAAACAGGTGCAGTAAAAGAAACAGCACCAGTTGGAACAACATTGCAATTGTTATTAAGCATTCAAAAGTAATGTTGGAATAACTGTTTCTAGTATTTTAGAATGCCAAGGGCTATTCTCAAGAGGGTACACGTTCAGAAATAAGTATCTGAGAAAATTCACATCTTAGTAAATCTGTGACATATGAAGGGGAGCCAAAGAAAAAAGGGATGGAAACAGTCAAATATACAAAATTTTTACATACAACCGTCTTATATTGTTTTGCAATTAAAAAAAAAAAGTAAAAGTTCCAAATAAATCATGCTCCTCCACCTTTGTTAACTGGATATCTTTTAGCCACCACAGAAGCACTAGGTTTTAAGGAAACATTTGACATCAAAGAGGACAGTGAGCTCTTCTGGATCAGTTCAGAGAAGCTATTCAATGCATATAGGGCAGCATGGAAATACTGGTGAGAGCAACTGAAAATGGACTGACAGGATCAACTTTGTTAAGGGGAACACAATGCTGTAAGAAGTAGAGTTATATATGAAGGGACTGACATGAAGGTCTGAACATAGCATTAGAACTAGATGCCACAAAACAGGGAGCAAGCAGAGAGGGATGTGAAAAGCTAGGGAGTACAACAAGTAAAGAATGTTGTACTTAACAGCTTTTCTTTCTTTGAAACTGAAAGAGTGATGTAGGTTACAGACAAGTTGGAGAGAAGATAAGAAAACATTACCATCTGATGCCCTTAAGAAGTTCAGCAGATAAACCTCATGAAGTGTGTAATAGGGATGTGCTGTTTCATGAGATCTAAACAGGAAGCTGTCTGCAAAGTTGCTTATACTGTAACCAGTAACAAACAAACAAACAAAAAGGTCCAAATCAGTAACATACCAGTTCCATTAACTGTTTTAGCCGACCTATCTCTTCTGGCAAGGAACCTAGCTTATTGTTACTTGCAATTAAGACTTTTAGAGGAAGACCACACAGGCAAGCTGGCAAAGAAGAAAGTTGATTTCGACTGCAACAGAAAAAAAAAAACAAAAACATTAAAAATGCAAGTCACATTCTAGCATATGCTCACTTAGAAAATCAATTGCAATATGATGAAAAAAACTGAGCTACTGAGATATCTTAATAAATCAAGGTGTATGTAGTATGTATATGAGAAGAAAATTAAAGTTTTAGAATAAAAATGGCATTAACAGAAAACATCTGCACATAAAAAATTTGCACATGCTGAATAAAACAGCTTTGTGAAATACCACCCTCTGTGAAGAAAATGAATGAATTTTATCATTTCAAGTACATATATATAGAGCACTTCAACAAAGACTGATGACAATGTATAACAGCTGTTTCCCTTCACCAGAAATGCAGTAAACTTGGGGAGGTGGTTACAAATATTAAAACAAAATCATACAGGTTTACTGTAAGTAGAGGTCTCAGAGTTTTAAGCCAACTGAAAGCCAAACCACCAATTAGTCAAAGGGGAAGGGATGGGACGGGGAATGGGGCATGGACTAGAATGCCTACTGCTCCCTTAAATGTAGCTATATACATTTTAATCAATGAATATTCTATCCTCCTATGATACTTTAGAAAGGCCAAATACTTTAGCCCATTACTTAAGCATTTATTTTCTGTGACTTGGTCAACAGGAACAGACCACAATATTTTCCCTATCACGGGTAGTAATAAGAGGTCAAGCAATCATATTTAAAAATATATTTAAAAGTTTATAATTTTTAAAATAAAAATATAAAAATTATGAAAAGCAAATGAGTGCTGTTCTCCCAATACCTCACAAAGTTTCCAGGGAGTTAGGAAAGCTATCATTTCATTTTGCAGATGGAACAACAAGGTACTGGAAAAATTAAAATGACTTAAAAAGGTCACAGAGGAAGTATGTGGCAGAGGAAAGGGTAATCTAAAGCTCTTGGGACATTTTTACATGTGGTCCGGGAGGCGCAGGGGCACTTTAATTAGCAAGTCACACTAATTAAAAGTGCCAGAATGTCATGTGTATCAGTGTCCCCTGCACTGAAAAATGGCAGCAGAACGCTTTGAACTAAAGCTCATCAAACGAGCTTTAGTTTAAAGTGCCCCACTACCATTTTTCAGCACAGGGACACTTGATGCACGTGATGCAGAAGGCTGCTGGAGCACATTTATTTCTGTGCTCCAGTGGACTCGATTAATCAAGTCTGTTCCAATGTGCTGGATTTCCTGTGCATTGGAGCTGGCTCCCTGCATGTCTATAGGAGCCCTTGATTCCCAAGTCTGACTCAGAAGTACTGCCCCTACCCCTTTTCATGTGCCTGAAGGACTTCTCATCTGTTGCTACTCTTTCCTCATTCTCTGCTCCCCAGTTTGATGCCATTTTTATGTAAGAATGGAGGTTAGCCTGCATACATGTCTGCTCCAAACAGACAACTGGCTTCTAAACAGGACTCTATTTGGGACTACATAGTCCCTAACACAACTCTCAGTGAAGAGAATATAGAGATAATCTCAATGGGAAAATACCACCATGGTTCCATTCATTTTTCCCTAAATCAGGAGAACATCTGTAATCCTTTTCAAACAGCTACCTAGCCCTAACACCAGGTGGCTGCCCTGCACAGTTCATCTATGAAAGCTTTATCCCTTTCTCCAAGGAAAAACCCAGATGAGGTGTACACTGATCCTGACCAGAAACTCCACTCTTTTCAATACAATTTCCAATGCACAAAGATCTATGAAGAAGTTTCAAGTCTTTTGTTTTTTTCTTCACTCAGAAATACTGAAAGATATTCTGAATCAATCCATATTTTCACTAAGCCTCCAACTGCATTTCTCACAAGGTAAGCACAGCTCTCATTTAAAAAAGCCTTTTTTTAAAACTGATTTTGAGGCTTAAATAGCAGCTATGCTAATCTCTTATCTCTGAAGAGGAAGCTGGAGAGATAAGTAGGGGTGAAAGAGCTGTATGATCAGATAATAAGGCTGACTGATTTATCAAAAGAACATACATATAAGGAGTAGAGGTGCACCAAAATGGGTCTCTTGAGACTTTTTTGGTAAAAATACGAAGAGCCCTGTGTGGATTAGAATATACATTAAGATTCATTTACCCAAGGGAAAGGGTAGAAGCTGGGAACCTCTAAGGGAGTTTATACACACGTTCCAGGAAAAAGCAGGGGGGGGGGAAGGAGGGGGGGCTTTAATTAGAGCGGCTCCAAGAACTCCTCTAATTAAAGCACCTGGAGCATCACGTGTATCCGCGTTCCCACGCAGAAAAATGGTGGCAGGGCACTATAACTAAAGTTAATTAAATTAACTTTACTTAAAGCACCCCTGCTGCCATTTTTCAGATTGGGGACACTGATACATGTGATGCAGGAGTCAGCTGGAGAGCAGTAATTACCATGCTCCAGCAGACTTGATTCATTACAGTGCATAGGAGCAGCCTCACTGCATGTAAGTAGGCACCCTAAGTTCCTTTCTCTGCCGCCTTCTCACGGCTTTGACTTAACCTGGTTTGCAGTGGCAAAGTACATCAACACTTCACTGACTATGATTTCCCATGTTCCAGAATCCGTAACTGATTTGTTACGTTTACTGAATCAGTGCTAAGGCAGTAAACTCTGCCAACATTAGCCAAATCTAGTCAGAGAGCTGCAACCATTCATTTCAAAAGGGACTAAAATAGGTACATAATGACAATACTTTAGATGAAGATTTAACAATATTTATGTTGTTGAGCTGTAATGGGCAATTTTTCTCCTTTGGAAAGGCTAAGAATAATAAGAACAAAAACACAGCAAAGTTGTATCATGTCATCAAAAAAAGGTCACGGAAATCTTACAAGGGGATAGGGTGGAGGAGCATAATGCAGTTTCTGTACAGTTTGTGTAGTCAACCTGTTCAACAGAGGACTGTGTTCCCATAATACCAACATAGAATGTATACAGATTAAATGATTCGGTATAAAGCAAATGAATAAGTGGGAGAGAGCTGCTAGTGTAAGTAGCCAAAATTATCAGTATACTATGCTATATTGCTATTGGTGCCAACAGCCATATTTCTGCTAGTTCCCATATCTGAAATTGTACTGGGGAACTTTTTTATCCTCCTCAAGAAAACATACTCAATTTCTTCCTATGGGCTATCTTCCATTCCCCTCCTCCATGTAGGAGGGGGAAAAAAAAAGGAAAAAAAAATTACCTTTGTTCCATTTTAGAACTGCCTAAAATTTAATACTTTAGACGACATTTAATGATGAGTGACTTTTTCCCCCCAAATAGAATATATATCAGCCAAGTTTAAGTTCCAGTAACTACAAAGTTAGAACTAGAGGAAAAAAAGAGGCTAATTGCAAAAAGTGAAAGGGTCAAAATTTGTAATTAAACTTAAAATCATTTTACCAGATTGCCATGGGAACAATGTAACCTCAGAGAATTTGTCTCAATAGTATCACTCCTAAATCATCTTGGAATGATGAGTGGAGCAAAGGGTTAGTGGGGTTGAATGTATATAAAATGGGCAGTAGAGTTCATTTCACCAGCCAGCTGTAATGCTATGTCTAAAATAAGCCATCAACATTATTATCTTACTATAAGTGCAAGACTAAGGAAAAGGTACATAGGGAGACCAAGCAGAGAAAACTGTTTCATTAATGTCAATACATAGAAAGAAATAATTTATTGCAATTAAATTTTAAAAAATTCCTTCGACAAGTCACTAGGTCCAAAGATCCCTTAAATGATAGCTTGCATTCAACCATATAGTAGAATTATTCCAATCATTCATGGATGAGATAGGTGTGGCCAGACCCTGAAAAGCTCACCAGCTGAGAAACCTTCTGTAGAAATATAGACTATCCTTCTGTCTGGAGTCTGGACTGACATCTTCCAGTCTGTATAGCTATAGGTACTATAGCAATAAACTAAATTCCTACTGAAGAGTATATTTTTATGAACCAATCAGGAACTTTTATTTTACTGAGCAAAGAAATGCTCTAAACAAAAGAATAATTCAACTAAGGAACAAATAAATGTTCCTATTCTCTTCTTTCTGCAAAACTAAATGTTTCCTTAATGCCTATTTTATAGCAGTATGACTGCAGGGACTACTCAAACCCAGCTATACATAGGTTTTTTAAGTCCTTTGTCTAATACTGGGAGCACCATCCTACCAAAGGCAGCCTCCACCATGGTCAGTTTGAAGAAGGTATGTCAACAAGGTGCTACATCTTGACCCAAGAGACTGCTACGGCTGCTCATAAATAGCCTCTTATGCTTGTTTTGGAAAGAGAGACTAACCTGTGGGCTTCATAGGGGCACTATCTCCACCAGTGGTACATTTTGATTTGATGTTCTTTCCTGTAACTCAGAAGTATATATGTTCATTTTTTTCAAATCCAAAATAAAATGTGGCCCTCCAGCACACAGACTATCCTTTTAGGGTAGCATTCTACATTTTCTGAATGTCTAAGTGACCAGATTTGGTTACCTACACTGCTGTTTAAATTTTAAAATATGCCACTTATGCAAAGATAGGCAAACTACTATGCACATAGCTCTACGCTTGTAAACAGCTGCATATGGTCCTAATGCAGAACACTGCCATTACTGAGATCATTGTTTAGATTCCGTACAGGTAGGGTATTGCAGACTCCATATGTTTTGGGGTTTTTTGTTTTTCATTTCGTCCTTCTCTAGACTGGACTATACAGTACAGTGGCCCAACCAATGATGTCCTCATAGTAGAGTGGAACCAGATCCTCATACCCCAATGCTGAAGGAACAGCAGAAATGAAGCAAATAAGGCAAATACATATCTGAAACATTTTTCAGGAGTAATTCTAGTAAAACCTTCTGCAGTATGGAGGCAGAAGGAAAAGCTAGTTGCCTCTGAACACGCCTTCCTCTCTCACTGACCAATAAGTCAGTTGATTTCAATGAACTCAGGCGATTAGTCAAGGACGCACTGCAGAGTAGGAGTTTTGAAGTGATGGGAGACCAAGAAGGGTGGCTG